CCCTCCCTCCCTCTCTCTCCCTCCCTCCCCCTCCCTCTAGTGAACTGGTGTCGGGTCGTCACAGTTGTGTCACCATTAAATCTTATGTTCCTAATTTGATTTACTTAAAGGAAAGGAGCCACAGTGTCTCCATTTGTTAAAGAATGTTGTATATTTGTTTATTTAAAGTTACACATGTGAAATACCTCAGTGCAGATGTCGGCTGTCGATTTTAAGAAACAGGTTTATAAGCTTAAAGAGAAAAGAAATATTATTATTAGTTGGAACAGAAAAGGTAAATCTTGATATAATCTGTTGATCTAATTTATACAATAAGGTTTGATATTATTATTATTATTGTTATTAGTAGCTATAAGACTATTGTTCTCTTTATTATTATGATTATCTTTATTGTTATTATCATCATCATTATTATTATTATTATTATTATTATTATTATTATTATTATTATTATTATTATTATTATCATTGTTATTATTATTATTATTATTATTATTATTACTATGAACATGGTAAGAGGTTTTGATTGACAGTTTTTAGGTTTTTGTATTTGTCTATAAAACTGATTTGTGTGTTTGTGAGTGATGTGTGTTTGTTGTGAGTAGATATATATAATAAAGAATATGTTATGTGGTTGGTTGTGTTTATAAAAGGATTAAAGGGAAATAAATTTAATTTCTTTTTTTTAGTTTTGTTTCTGTGAACGAAATTTGGGTTGGAAAATGTATATGTTTGAGTGTCATGTTAAACAGTATGCTTGTTCAAGATGTGTTTTATATACTGTATAAATATATATGTGCACACTCAAATTCACACAAACAAGCAAACACACGCACACACAAACTAACTAACAAACACACACACAAACAAATAAACACACAGACAAACACCCACATACACACAAACTAATAAACGCACACACAAACAATCAAAGAAACACTCATACACACACACAAACAAACACACATACGCGCGCGTACAAACAAACAAACAAACACACACACAAACAAGCACTCAAACAAACAACATACAAACAATCTAACTAACACATACAGGCGCGTACAAACAAACAAACAAACACACAGAGAAGCCATACAGATATCCCGCTCATGCTTATTCTGCAGGACAGTTACAACAACAACAGATCAGCAACAACCCGGCCCCGCCCACAACACCAACAGCAACACCAACCTTCCTCCTTCACCAACACCACCGCGATTAACCACAGCCAACACCACGCCCTTCCACAGTCTATAATAACCACCGCACTACCACCACAACCCTTCCCCCTCCAACACCACCACAAACACCACTACCACAAGCAATACTATAACCTTAGCCCCTCCAACACAACCACCACAGGCAATACCACAACCCTGCCTCTTCCAACATCACCACCAACACCACCACCACAACCCCTCCCCCTCCAACACCTCCACCACCACCACAATCCTAACCCCTCCAACACCACCACCACACCGACACCACAACCCCTCCCCCTCCAACACCTCCACCACCCCCACAATCCTAACCCCTCCAACACCACCATTACAACCCTTCCCGCACAAACACCACCACCACCACCACACAACCCCACCAACACCACAACCACCACCACAACCCTTCCCCCTCCAACACCACCACACCACCACCACAACCCCTCCCCCTCCAACACCTCCACCACCACCACAATCCTAACCCCTCCAACACCACCACCTCCACCCCTCCAACACCACCACAACAACCCCTCCAACACCACCATTACAACCCTTCCCGCACAAACACCACCACCACCACCACAACCCCCCCAACACCACCACCACCACCACTCCAACACCAACACCAACACCACACCGCCACAACCCTAGCCCCTCCAAAACCACCAAACCACCACCACAACCCCTCCCCCTCCAACACCTCCACCACCACCACAATCCTAACCCCTCCAACACCACCATTACAACCCTTCCCGCACAAACACCACCACCACCACCACCACCACACCCACACCAACACCAACACCACCACCACCAACACCACCACGAACACCACCACCACACCACAACCCCTCCAACACCACCATTACAACCCTTCCCGCACAAACACCACCACCACCACCACAACCCCTCCAACACCACCACCACCACAACAGAAATCGTGCAATGTCGTGGCCTGTGCAGCGTGGTTGCGCAGCGCTCCGGTAAGTCTGTTTGGCGAAGCAAGGCCTAAAAAATCATTCCATTGCAAAGTGTTGATCATTCGAGGAAAAGAAAAATAAATTGTTTTGTTTTTGTTTACGAGAAATAAAGCGAAATATTTTGAAGCTTCTGGCGTTTCATTTTGACGTGTTCTCCTCCATTGATGTTTTTTAGTGTTTGGTTTCTCTCTCTCTTTGTTTATATATTTATCTTTTTTTCTCTATCTGTCTTTCTGCCTCTCTTTCTTTCTCTCTCTGCCTCTCTGTTTCTGTCTCTGTCTCTCTCTTTCTCTCTCTCTCTCTCTCTCTCTCTCTCTCTCTCTCTCTCTCTCTCTGTCTCTCTCTCTCTCTCTATCTCTCTCTCTCTCTCTCTCTCGCTCTCTCTCTCTCTCTCTCTCTCGTTCTCTCTCTTTCTCTATCAGTCTATTTGTCTATCTATCGAGATATCTACCTATCTTCCTTTCCCTGCATCTCTCTCTTTCCTTCCTACCTCCCTCTTTCACCCTCTTCCTCACCTTTTGCTTTCTCCTTCCTCCTTCTCTGTGTCCCTCTCCTTCGCCCTTCTGCTTTTCCCTCTTCCTCTCCTTTTCCTTTTTCACTCTCTCTGTTCCCCCTCTCCCTCTCCCTCTCCCCCCTCATTCTCTCATTTCCCCCTCTCCTTCTCCTCCCTTCCTCTTACTCTATATTTTTCCTCTTCCTCTCTCATTCTCCCTATTTTCTCTCTCGGCATCCCCTTTCCCCTCTCCCCCTCTCCCACTCCCCCCTCCATATCTCTCTACTTCCCTCTCCCTCACATTCTCTCTCCCTTTTCGCACTCTCTCAATAACTCTCCCTCCTTCTCTCTCCTTCTCCCCCCTCTCTCTCCTTTTCCCATCCCTCTCTCCTTCTCCCCTCTCTCTCTCCTTTTCCCATCCCTCTCTCCTTCTCCCCCCTCTCTCTCTCCTTTTCCTACCCCTCTATCTTTCTCCCCCCTCTCTCTCCTTTTCCTATCCCTCTCTCCTTCTCCCCCCTCACTCTCCCCTTTTCCTATCCCTCTCTCCTTCTCCCCTCTCTCTCTCCTTTTCCCATCCCTCTCTCCTTCTCCCCCCTCACTCTCCCCTTTTCCTATCCCTCTCTCCTTCTCCCCCCTCACTCTCCCCTTTTCCTATCCCTCTCTCCTTCTCCCCCCTCACTCTCCCCTTTTCCTATCCCTCTCTCCTTCTCCCCCCTCTCTCTCCTTTTCCTACCCCTCTATCTTTCTCCCCCCTCTCTCTCCTTTTCCCATCCCTCTCTCCTTCTCCCCCCTCTCTCTCTCCGTCTCCTACCTTCGTATAACTTCGTATAATGTATGCTATACGAAGTTATTACGCTCTCTCTCTCTCTCCCTCTCTCTCTCTCCTTTTCCTACCCCTCTATCTTTCTCCCCCCTCTCTCTCCTTTTCCTATCCCTCTCTCCTTCTCCCCCCTCTCTCTCCTTTTCCTACCCCTCTATCTTTCTCCCCCCTCTCTCTCTCCCTCTCTCTCTCTCTCCTTTTCCTACCCCTCTATCTTTCTCCCCCCTCTCTCTCCTTTTCCTACCCCTCTATCTTTCTCCCCCCTCTCTCTCCTTTTCCTACCCCTCTATCTTTCTCCCCCCTCTCTCTCTCTCTCTCACTTCTTAATTTCCTTCTCTCTCTCTCTCACTTCTTAATTTCCTTCTCTCTCTCTCTCTCTATCATTCTGTACGTAAGTGTTTATGTATTTATGTTTACATCAAGATTACGTTTTTTTTATATTGTATGAGATAATAAGATTTAAGGTATTTATTATTTATTTTTTATTTTTATTTTTCAATTTCAAGGGTGATTTTTTGTGTGTTCTTTTGTATGTGTTTGTGAAATACGGGTTGTGTATGTGCGTATGTGCGTGTGCGTATCTTTTTACATGTGCGTATGTTTGTGCGTGTGTATCTCTGTACATGTGCGTTTGTTTGTGCGTTTGTGTCTTTGTACATGTGCGTATGATTATGTGTATGGATCTTTATCCATGTGCGCGCGTGTGTATATGTGTGTTTGTACATGTGCGTATGTGTGTGTGTATTTTTATCCATGTGCGTGCGTGTGTGTATGTTTGTATGTGTGTGTGTGTTTGTCCATGTTCGTATGTGCGTGCGTGTGTATCTCTATACATGTGCGTATGTTTATGTGTATGTATCTTTACCCAAGCGCGCGCGCGTGTGTGTGTATCTTTGTACATATGCGTTTGTGTGTGTGTTTTTATTCATGTGCGTGCGTGTGTATGTGTGTGTTTTTGTTCATATCCGTATGTTTAAGTGTATGTATCTTTGCCCATGCGTGTGTGTGTGTATGTATCTTTGAACATATGCGTATATTTGTGTGTGTATTTTTATCCATGTGCGTGCGTGCGTGCGTGCGTGCGTGTGTGTGTGTGTGTGTGTGTGTCTGTATGTATGTCTTTAAACATATGCGTATATTTATGTGTGTATTTTTATCCACGTGCGTTCGTATGTGCGTGCGTGCGTGTGTGTGTGTATATGTCTTTAAACAT